TCATTGTTCACGTCACCCTCCAGGTCAGACCTCTTTCAGGTTCATCCAATACCATAATTCGTGTTTCATACGAACACTTTCCTCTATGATTTTTCTGACGTGATGCATCAATATTTACGTCAGATCCACGAATCCATAATTTCGAACAAGGGGGAATCAACGGAATCAGCCACATTGACTGCCAATGGTGATATGAAGACAGACGCAAATGTGAGTTGCGTTAGCTTCATCTAAGCAATATACACTGGTTTACCCAAATAAGTAAAATCTCCTCCGAATGCAACAATAATCGCTGGAAACCATGGTCTCGCGAGTTTGAAGCTAGAATTGATTTCTTTCCAAAAAACGAGAGAAATATTGAGGAAGTTGAACTTTGAATATCTTTTCCTATTCCAGGGATCGGCGTTTCGGCAGACAATTTTGACTTTCTTTCTAATGGCATCTGGGGTCGTCATTGCTCTCCTATCCACGCTTATTGTGGAAAAGCTGAAGCTCGAAAGTGATGCATGAAACAGCGCCAATAACTAATGATTATGAGGAATAAAGTCTTGTCACAGCTTTGCCATTAGTGGTAAGATGAGATTCGGATGATGGGATTCGTTGCATAGGAGCGAAATTGAAAGAATAAATGTCTGATCTTGAAATTGACGGGTGATACAGCGCTGCTCTGATGTCCTTCGTTCCGTTCAAAGCCCTTCACAGACCTTGAAAAAGGAGTCATTCCTCCGTTGATGCCGAAAAAGGAATCACTATGGCAAAACTACAGCCACAGTATGAGCACGAATGTCTGCTTGAGACTGCCAACTCGTTATGACCTTGCAGTCTCCTTGAAGAGTGATCAGACAGGTGACTGGAGGCACTTGATGCTGGCGGTAGTTTGATCACCAAATGCTGGATAGCAGAGAAGGTGAAAACGAACCAAACTGGAACAAGACATTCCAGCGTATCTCGTTCCAGTTCGTTGAGACCCACTTCTCAGTTCATTTTTTTTGCAACTCAGTATTTAATAACGAAAATGGCGCCAACATCACGTGCCTCCAGCCACGCAATTGCCTGACTCCGGCGAGATCTGAGAAGACCAAGAAAGTTTAATAAATAAAAAAGAAAATGACACAAAAATCATTGGCAAGATGCCGATGATTTTTGTGTCCTTTTCGTTAGACTTGTGAAAGGGTCATGATTGGTCATGATCCACCCAGTATAAAATGTTCATTTTATCGATACACCATGCATGCACACACCATATATTTCACTAATACTAATAATAATACTTTCAGTAATAATAATAGTTCATGGAATTAATTTCACTTATAATTTTGACTGAGTGATTCATGATAGGTCTCTCATTGCGATGGAGAGACGAGCCTCATAAGTTGATAAGCGAATAATTTTCTCACGACGGTCATGTAATGGATGCCAAGATGTGGTAATTTAATTGACTCATGTTTATTATGATATTATTGGCACATGCAATACTTCATGTTGGCGAAAATAGTGCTACAGATCGATTGCATCATATCAGTCTCGGCGAAGTCAGTGTTCAAAAACAAATGAAGAATTGGTCTCTCTGATAAGGAAACGCCATAAAATGCAATGACTTATTTGTTTGTTCCACTCGCAGCCCTCACCGCAGATCCTGTATCTCAAGGTCTGCCGCAATATAGCCTCCACGCCGATACTTCACACGTGTATTCTTTCTTCCTGTGGTGACGCGTCGAGAATCTTCTGCCTTCCTAAAATTATTTATTTTCCATCCAAGTCTAAAAATAGGAGGACCAGTTAAATTCAATTCAGTGGAATGAAGTGCATGTAATAATTATTTCCATTTTTTGCCTGAGCGCCTCATCCCTAGGATATTCCAAATTCGAATGTAATTTAATTTAAATTTAACATTGAAGTTCAAGAGTCAATATATTCTAAATTCCCCTGCGAAATGGTAAGTCCGATATTGTAACAAATGTGTGAATCGGCAGAACTTTTACAAGTGGGAGAAATGCTTAAAGAACGGCCGATAAAACATCTGTGATGAGTCACGACCCCTGAAACCAATTCACCACACGCAATATTGCGTGTGTCATTCATCTTTACTTAGTGAATCACTCTCGTGAGTCAACTAGAATAATTCAATTCAATCAATACGCAGGCTCGGTGATGCCCGATACGGGGAAAGTAGACGATTCTGTTTTTTTTTCTTCAAATGTAACCCTTCCGTTCACGAATTATTTTCTGATATCTTTGTGTGAAATGAGGAATTCCGCCACGATCGCTGAGGACATTCCTATAGCGCAGCGGAGCTTTTTGAGCAGGGGGCCTGATACGGACGTGACCAAACTTGCGCGGGCCACGCTAAAAAAAGTATACTAATACGAATTTAAAAATCCAGTCAAGGTTATAATGTTCATTGAGGGTTTCTTTTTACTGCCAAGTACATTTAGTCTTCGCGGGCCTCAGTTTGAGTACCACTGATGCAGAGCATGAAAAGAAAGCGAGGTCGTCCCGTGATCTCCCTCTCTCCCACAGGCCTTGGACAGGTTGAGTTGAGTTTTAGGGCCTTCCCAGTGAAATGTAACCAGAGGAAGATCGGGACAGGTTCGGTTCGATTGGACGATCCCAAAACCTGGATGGTTTAAGGCCCTGAATGCGCAACAACTCTCTTCGCAGAAGAGTCAAAGGAATTTAGCGGTTCTATGTGCTATCAGCCTTGTGAACTGGTATATATTCCGAAGACGTCATGGCTACACGTTTCCTTGCATTTCACCTCATTCGAGCTCTAAAGATAGGGTTGACATGGGCGTATGTTGAGGAGGAAATAGAAGAGGCATAGGTCCCCCATCCCGGAATCTTAGAAACAGGACATTAGTCATGATAAGTAACTGAAGTCAACCTGCAATTACAATGCCGATCGATATAACTTGGCGCGCCAGGGTTTTCCATAGAACGTAACCAGCACAGTTGAATTTACAGGGTGGCCCAAATGTTCCTTCGAAAGCATGCGATGTACGCTTCATTTTCAAAAATGATATTGCAAGTGATTAATGTGTTTATGCTGGCTGGTGACAGTGAACACGCATTACGCATTATCGAGTGAATCGGAAGTTGGAGTGCATTTCTTCCTAATATTTTTGCACTTAACCTTACATTACATGTGTTTGAAACGACGTTTGGACTTCCCTGTACATTGGAAAACATTATCAGTATTACCTGCCATTCTAGACAACATCTTTGACGGATTGGCGCTTCATGATTTTATTACAGAGACACATCCTGGAAGTGACTCCTTCATTATTAGATATGAAGTTAAAATTCCCTATGGCCATTTCCACTTCAAAATTCTGTCGTTTCGTCCTTGTCCTTTTCGATATTCCTACGCTTTACAAATTAGACTTTCGAAACCTTGCTTCCTGGCCAATTCATATTCGCAAATATTAGCGAAATAAAACAAGACGCATCCGACGTCTCCTTAAGTTTTGCGTTCCAGATCCCGATTTACCCGGGTATTCCCGTTCATTTGCGACAGTTATTGCAATTGGAGAAAATCCTGCCATGGTTCGACAACATCTTGCATAACAATGTAAAGCTCATTTATCTTATCTGTTTATAGCAATAAATAGCTCATCTTTTATCCCCCCCCCCCTCCCCATCCCACCCGAGAAAGAAGTCCGAAAGCGTTGACATTAAATGCAAGAAGCAACAGTCGATATGGTGACTATTTCCAAGTCTTGAAATCTACGCCGTCCTGCTAAGAAGCCGTAGCCTTATATCCTATGTTACGAAAGAATAATGAAAATTATGAGCATCCTAGGAAATTAAAGAAAATTGCGGCTCGCGCTTTCATTCGGATCAGAATAAAACCTGAGATCCTGCACTTGGTGAGATTGAAAAAAAGAAAACTAACTTCTCTTCACTACTTCACCAACGTTCAGGCAGAGCCAAGCGTATAGCTTGGAGTCCGTCGTTCGCAGATAGCAGTGGCGATGTCACTAAAAGGTAAATGAATTCAATTTATAAACTCGTGAGCAAATGTTTTGTCCAAAGCCGATTGTCGATTGTGCTGCGACACATCTCATTATGGTACAGTAGATTCCCGTTTCCCTTCCGTGATCGACACGTCCTCTCGATGTTGCTCGCTTCCCATTTACTACTTTTGTTGTAATTAAAATTGGGCTCTCAAATGCCTATTGAGAGTTTTACATTTATGGAATAGGTCGCGGAATACGAACTTCATGTTGTTGAGACTGTCTCTCGTACTTGGCAAAACTCCTTTCTTGACCCCTTCACATCCGATGACTTTGTGGCCTACCTGGCCTTGAATTGTGTTGCCTTAGCCCGACACGAGAACCCCACGAAGTCTACGCCTATATAGGCCATAGGCCAGGGTGAGGAAGATGTGGTGATGCTTACCAACACGCTTGTGGATGCGAATTTATTCTGGGCGTGTCACACTTAGCGTGTTATCACGACCTTCGCGTCAATGCTTAGGCAGGTGGGCACTTAAATCCAAAGGTTATCACAAAACGCCAAGCTGGCGTTTTCCATTGAACTCATCCCATTTCTACAAGCAAGCTTTGCGTTTTGAGAAAACCATTGGATGTAAATGGACGTGCGTGAGCACGGGTGTCTGTCTTTCTGTGCAAGCATTGACGCAAAGGAGGCATGACACGCCTAGCGTGAAACGCCGTTTAGCCTTCGGCGCGAGGCCTGCAAGGTTATGCCTTTCTTGGCCATAGGCTAAGCGGAAGGGGATGGGATGCATGCCAATAACCTTGTCGATGCGAAGAGGCTGAAAATATAAATATTCGGCTCGTCGCTCGAAACCATGGTCAACGTTGAGAAATCCTTTCGTTTCAAATGTTGCCTAATTGTTTACCACAACTCATAATGCGATAAACGTTTGATGTTGGAGCCTTAGGAAACATTTAATTCCTAAGCGAGGTTATTTTGGCCCTTTCACGCATGGTGTCCACTATAGTGGACGGCGAAATTTTTGGTGGTAATGATGGATTTTTAGCCATGGTACACATCCCTTGAAACTTTTGGTGTATGCAGTCAACTCAAGGGTACATAATCTCTTCAGTGTTGCTTTCTAGCGGTGAAACATGCGACTTCTACGGCAAAGTACCTCCTTAAACGTTAAACCAAAAAATGATTTTTTTTTTGCTTGAAAAATTTATTCGTGAAAGGTTGAACATGGAGTTGGTGGTACAATCTACCAAATTCGCAGCCATAAGCAAAGGACAACCGGTTTGTGCGCGATAGTTTAAGAGATGGCTTGAAATTTATTTTTATTTCGTTCCCTGTGGTGGAAGATACATGTCCAATATCGGCAACAATGGAGAGACTTCATAATACACGGGCATTGTTATTCTTGGTCGCTATGAGTTTCTTGACGTTTGCATCGATTGCCGGTAATCCTTCGAAGGAGTCCTGTGCTCCTCGTGTGGAAGCCTTGCTTCGAGGCAGATCTTCAGTATGGAAGAGCATGGATGTAAGCGTCACGGAAGAGATGCCCCACGCTTTTGAGATCGCTTTGGGTTTCCCTCCAACTGCAGTGAGGTTTGTTTATATGTGGGTAGAAACACGAGGTATGCTCATTCCGGGCACCTTCACTTGCCTCAACAATGGAGTCACCGAAGAAAAAACCTGCAATGAAGAGGTATGTTACATTCCATATATCTCCCTTTTCCACTTTATTTCAATATGGAACCCCAAATGGGTAGGGGGAGAATTTAAAAAAAAAACTAACGAAATGAATGCCAGAAAAATTACGAATTTGCTGCACCGATGAGAATTGGAGAACTCGTCAGTGCATGCGACATTCTACGCGGATATTTAGGCTGAAATGCATCGTTTCATTCACATTTCACGCAGCAATTGGACGAGTAAGCATGAATGGGGTTGATAGCCGTTTCAGTGAGCGGGAACAAACAAGATTTCCTTCCTGCTTAAGGCAATTCACTACATGCAAGTAAAAACCAAAGACACTTACGATTGAGGTGCAGACTTCCAATCGAGCTAATGAGAGCATGTGTTCAGTAGAGCTCTATTTGGGCTGGTCCTGACGAGCCTGGTCTAGAGGCAGAGCTATGAACAATGATTAAAGAAGTTGGATAATGAAAAGGGATAAGAGCCCGTGCTGGAAGCGGGTTGAACAAGCTGGAGCGCTCTGCTTGCATATCATCCAGTCCACATCAAACCTTCTCTTCCATTTGCAACAGTGTTTTAGGTTAGCCTTTCTTGAAAATAGTTCGGATGAACTTCATTGCAATTGACGACAGATGAATCAATAAGTACCCAAACAGAATTTACCCCGGAAACATTGACATTCCCTTGTTATTTCGTATGGAAGGTCTTCGTATCTACTGTAGATGAAAATTATCATCATATTTTCTTGCTAGGGTATATTCTGGGGTGTTCCTACTATGAAGGAGGCACAGATGGCTTGGAAGGTCAATTTTGACCAGGAAATCCTCAAGGACGACGTCGTTTTCAAGTCAGCCCCACTACTTCTTTTCATTAATACCCTCCGTTCTCATATTTTCCAGTCCGGGTTCTCCAAATTTGGCTCCGATTTACATTAAGAACCACTTTGAAAATTTGATCATGAAACACTGAGTGTACAAACGATTTCGCAATACTGTATACTTACCGCACCTCATTGAAGGGGAAGTGGGGCATTTCGAACCTAAGGAATCCAATGGCACTGATATGCAACAGAGCTGTCAGCTCAATAAAATCAAAGGGGGGGGGGGGTTGAACCCTCATCATTTGCATTTTCACTGACCGCCTCCAGGAGTTTCGGAAAAAAAACACCAAAATTTAAATTCCCATAAAAGCATTCCATACCTGCAAAGTAGCATGAAAATTTCACAGGATAAATATTTCCCAATCCTGTTTGATGTAATCTTTCGTAAGTATTTTTTTAAATAATTAAATGAAATATAAGTTCATCATAAACCTAATACAAGGTGGATACTTGTATAAAATTTCCGACATGCCAAGGTCGGATCAATGAGGGTAGTTAATGTGAGATATGAGAAAAACAGGACGCCTGCAATTGCCTCGGAGATAGGAGGGCATTGAAAGATAGATGGAAACAACTTCCACAGCCCTTGTGATGAGATGAGAGCTCGAGGGGAGAACGCGTGCGAGCTGGATTGAGAATTGACCGATCATTTAATTACATTTGAAAACCTGTTTGAAGACTTAAAAAAATGGGATCGGACCTCAGTTAAATGTACTCAACTTCGTCCCGATTAAATATTTTTTTTATACCAAAAATAGGCTTAATCGAAAGATCCGTTCCAAGGGCTTCCGAAAAATGTATCATTTACATTGTTTGCTCTACTGGGTGCAAAAGGTACAGCCTCTAGAAAATAACAGTTTCCTACGGACCACTTTGTACGCGTTCCTCAAATTCCCCCCCTCTTCCTTTATTTCTCTTTCCTTCATATGTACGACACTGCTATCACCTTGCATTTCCCTTTTTTTGGTCACCTACTGGGACCATTCATATTTAGGTTGTCCGATGGTGGAAGTATTGTCACTCTCTTGCTTCTGTCAATATATTCCTATTATTGTCATTCCTGAGGAGGGCTGACAGGTGGAGTTCCGTTACGTGACGATCAGAGAAAATCTAAGAACAGGAATTTTGGTACGCCCCTAACAACTCTTGAAAGACTGCTCGTGCTCCCTGTAGAGCAAAAGGATGGGAGCATGATGCCGCAATCTAATACATCCACGAACGAATATGTGCATCTGGTTTATTCCTCCTAAATGGTTATTTGCTACAATTCAGGTAACCCTGGAATTCGTCGTGAACCAGAGAGGAGGGCGAAAGTTTGATTTCGTGTACTTCAGGCTTCATGTACGAGGTTTAAATTGTTAGGCACTCTCAGTAAAGAGACATAGGCTTGCTCTGCGATCCTTATTTTCTGGGGGCATTTTGTTCACTGACGCGGACTGCACAAATATTTGTCCAGGATCAGCGTCCAAGCATGTGGCAAGTTAAGCGTTATCTTCTCACAGACCATGATTCACTCGGATGACGATGCTCACGCGATGTTGCTATATGAGATAGCAGCAAACGAACCCTGCATAACCAGAACCTTATAAGGACATTCGTATTAACCCACTCTCATCTGGAACTTCTCAGCCTATCTGACTTATAACCCTGCTGCCTTAGCCTGACGCGGGATGTCTACAAGTCTTTGTATTCTAGGTCATAGGCTAGAGAGAAGAACATGGGACAGTGCGTACCTATACATTTGAATGGAATAAGTAAATGTTAGCATTAACGGATGCCTTAAGCCCTCAGACGATCCATTGATACTAGACTGGTCCAGATGCAGCCTCTGGAAGCATTGCGCTTGGGTTAGCTTAATGCTTACAATCTCTCGCTCACAGAAGCAAGCGTACATCGATTTTCATTGGCCGACGTCATGGTATCCTGTGACTAAGCTTCGCATCCGATAAATACATGTTATATATTTGTTGAGCCACCTAAAGCCATCGCAAGCAAGTGCGAAATTGGCTCATCTGTGCATCCATTGGTTGTCACCACTGATTACGAGGGCGTAACCGCGCAAGCTATCATGGAATGCTTCGACGATCACATGACTATGCAAATGCACTTCTTTAACCTAGAGATAGATTAATTGAAAAAAGGGGAGCTGGGACACGTCGACTGTTATCAACAGGGGGACGAATTAAAGCGCTTCTGTGGCAGGTCGGACGATTTGGCCTTTCTGTCAATCGCAGATGCGGAGGAATGGTTGTAGTTTCCTCGCACAAGCATGCGATCAGATAACGGGAGTTTGGTCACGAATTAGGAGTCGTACGTCTGAAGAACTTACAGACGACTCCACTTTTACGAACTGTACTGTGGCTCTGTTTAGCCGCATGCTAGAAAATTTTCTCCCATATATCTGAACTGTCTACCAATCAAATTTGTCGGTAAAAGACCAAACCAACGACTTAGACAAAAGGCGGACTTTCAAACATAATGAATAAATAAATCCATCTCCGCCAAGCAGACTAACCAACTGTGGCCGCAGGACCACCAGAACTACATACTCTGCATAGCCTACAGTCTGAAATAGAAGTCGATTGAGAAGTTGCTTCGCGAAGTTGGACACGCCGTTCGTTTCAAGTGTGATCAGCTTGTGGTTGTAGCAAATTCCATCTTGCAGGAACGACTTGCATACAAGGAGTTACTTCATCGAATTTAAAGAATCCCTCATTTTTTGTATTCCTTCCTTTTTATTCTTCCATCGAATCTGTAAATATGGTACATTAGCTTTTTGCGAATAAAGAAAATAGACAGCAATAAATACTCTGTCCACCCACTCTAAAAAGCTGACTGGCTCGGTTGTACTCCCTTTAGAGCCCTGGCAGGAGACAAGGCGAACGAGATCTTCTACGGAGAGGCCATGGTAAGCACAAGTCACTCGATCCCCATTTGAATGCGCCTGTAAGTTCATGGCCTGTTACTACTTTGCCTCGAAGTTGATCGCCTCACGGAGACAGAGGACGTGCCGGTCGACCTCCGCATTATAACAATTCACATACGGTCGGGTCGGAATTGCGGATGAGTCACAGATCGACATTATACGACTTAGTTAAACGAATGCGTACTTTTCGCTCTAACTTACGATGAAGAGAATACACAAATTCTGCATGCTTTTCAGAAATACACAGTATCCGGGCCGCTTGGACCTAGACCTCTGCTGCTTTAGCCTGAAGCACGAAGCCTACTTGACTGTGCCTTTCTGGGCCATAGGCGGAAAATCTGTATAGGTTACCTTTTGACGGGTGGGGTATTTAGGATAAGATCGCATGATAGGTGCTGCATGGTGACAGGCGCCAGCATGCCTTCTTTAACCATGGCTCTAGATGGCCTGAGTTGCACTCGCACACGGGTGTAGTTGTCGGGTATTGAGGTATGACAGAAACTTGAGGGCCTTTTATGGAGTATTCTCTCCGAGATAAGTGGAATGGATTTTGGCATGCACTCCAAAACGTCATTCACGGAAGCTTGAAATCCACTCTGGATCACATGGAATGCACGCTGTAAAAAAAAAATAGGAAGAAGTAATGCTTATCTATATTAGATCAAGAGAATAGTTCCTACCTTCCACAAACGCCCCAATGCGAGTCACTTACGGGAATATGATTTTTGTTACACTGCAACAACCGGCAAGCGAATATTAATCTCTTATAACTCATTTGCTTTCTTTTAACAATTTATAGTAGAAACGTTAGAATGCAGATGCAGGGTCTCGAGAACGATCCATTGTTGAACAAATGGAAGAACCCAATTTAATTTATATTATGGAATTGATGATCGACCGGGGGCAAGGGCGGACGTGCCACGCTTCATTCTCATTCGTAAATTGGTGACCCGAGGAAGTGAAGACGAGACTGATTTATGCCCAAAATGCGTTTTACATGACCTTCCTTACGGCTTGGTTTAATCGGCGAATAGCTATTGAACGAGTTCGTTCCTCGTGAAGTCTTTCATCTGAATCACTTTGGATTCGACAGAAGAGAGGGATAAAGGGAATCCTGTGGACATCGTCTATTTAGATTTCGCAATAGCTTTCGATACCGTTCCTCGCAAGAGGTTGCGGGTTAAACTGGAGGCCCACGGGATCCAGGGTAGGACGAACGAGTGGATCGGTACTGGTTGGCAGGAAGGGAGCAACGAGTGATGATAAATGGGGAAGCGTCGAAGGTCGGAGTCGCAAGCGGTGTCCCTCAAGGCGAGGTCCGCGGACCGTTTCTGCTTTTGGTTTTTGATTTGGATCTCGGCGTAGAGGGCAAAATAAGTCAATTTGGTGACGACACCAAGATAGGTTTTACCATAAGGGGGGGAGGCGGANTTTTACCATAAGGGGGGAGGCGGATAGGGCTAGAGCCGAGCAAGATTTAAGTCTTTTGGACGAGTGGAGCAAGAAATGGCTCATGAGGTTTAATAAAAGTAAGTGTAAAGTTCTCCACGTCGGTCGAAATAACGGTAGGTCTCTCTCGATAGGTTCGGTGAGGTTAAATTTGGTGAGGCAAACGGAGAGAGATTTTGGAGTTTCTATCGACGATGACCTCAAGTTTTCCTCGCACGCGCAAGCGACGGTGGCCAAATGCAGCAGGATTCTAGGTTTCATTCGTCGTTCGGCTGCAAGTAGGACTTCGCGCGTTATTCATTCGCTATATGCGGCACTGATAAGACCCCAGTTGGAATATTGTATCCAGTTTTGGAGGCCTACAAATGAGGGCGATTTGTTGGCGCTCGAGGGGGTACAGAGGAGGGTCACAACAATGATTAAGGAGGTCAGGGGACTTTCATACAAGAAGTGTTGGGACTATACTCGCTCGAGATCTCGAGCGAGTATAGTCCTTCTCGAGAAGGTTAAGGAGGGGGGATCTCATCCAGGCATTCAAGATAATTAAAGGAATAGATAATGTCGAGTGTGGTAGGCATTTTACAGTTTGATGGCAGCAAGAGAACGAGAGGTAACCAACTTAAGTTGCGCAAACCGCAGGTGCAGCTCAGGTCGAGATAGGAATTCTTTACTTACAGAGTGGTGAGCGCGTTGAATGCGTTAGATGACGAAGTAGTGGCTGCCCCGCGCTATGACTATCTTTAAGAAGAAACTAGGTGCTTATATGGACAGGCAAAAAAGGTGGGGGGCAATGTTGAAGTTAGTGACTAGGCAGTAAGCAACTAGGATACGCTAAAAAAAAATAAAGCGAAACTTTATTTATTTAAGAGGATTAGGCCTACCCTAAATAAAATTAAGAATTTTAATCGACTAGCTCGACCTCGACATGTATTATCGAAATGGGTGTAATCGCCTCTTGATATCACTATCTATCTTGAATCTTGAATCACTTATTTTGCTGACGTTTCCCCGGGACAGGTCTTTGGGCGACAGCTCGACGAAGAGAATCCATATGAGGGCTGCGGGGTCACCAAGAAATGTTTCGGATGCGTGGACAAAGCGTGCGTAGAGTCGGCAGGGTGTATTCAAGGCCGAAACTGCGATAAGTTTCTGTCTTACGTTCCTGCCAAGGAAGGCGAGACCTCGATCAACGTCACCGTCATGAGAACAGGAGCTGATGATGACTCTTATGTTGCTATTGGACTCTCCGAAGACGCATACATGGTACGCTTAATCGACATCTGCTCTTTGGCATGAAGTGGGCGAAAGGGAATGCGTGGTGTACATTACTTACATTAATTAAAATTACTCTAATGTAGAATTAAGTAACCTATGTGAAAGAAAATGCATAGAACCAAATTAAAATTGTTCTATGCATTTTCTTGTGCGCTCTTGATGGCAGGAAACCTTATTCCCAAGTGTTCCCCGTGAAAATGAAACAGCATGGGCAACAACTCATGCATAATTAGGTTTAAATATGCGTTTCGCATCCGGACCGCTCCGATCGAAGCCTCCGCTACCTTATCCTGACGCGCGAAGCCCACAAGCCTTTCCATGCCATAGGGCAAGCGGAAGACACGGGATGCGTGCCGGTACGCTCGTGGATGCGAATGGGTTGACAAGCATTGGAGTGGGATTTTTTATCATCGGAGGTCGAGTTGAACATTTATTAGTTTGTCGTTTTCGTTTCTTTTCCAGGGAGAAGACTATGTGGTGGAATGCGTGGCAAACTCAGGGGTTCCGAGGTTGTTTAGGTCATACAACGCAATTCATAGCAATAATATTCGTCTGAGCGACGTAAGTACTTTTCGCTACATACTCTTGTAGCCATATCCCGCATTTGTCTTAGATATTGGTCCCTTCGCATTTATTTGTGACTGTACTAGACGTAGATCCATGCTAACGAATACGACTGATATTCGCCGGAATTTCCAAATTATTGTCCCAGTGGTATGCAAAACAGAAGCGTCACCTTCGACAGATGGTTCTATTACTTAGTTGCTTGTTTTTTAAATTAAAAAGAACCTGCCTTATAAAAACGATGAGTCATCTAATGGGACTCACGGGAGATTTTATTTTGTGTAATCGAGGTCGAGAACGAGAGTCAAGAAATTACAAAGCCACTGCCCAGAAAGAGAAGGAAATTGAAGTGTTCCCCGACAGAGTTCCAGGGCTTTGCTCCAGTCACTTTGCTTGAAGTGTATTAAACAATCTAATTCGCCCATTGCAGGGGGAACAAGGAGGAGTTTCACAAATATGGACTTCCTATGAAAATGGATCCTTGAAATGCGCATTCACGCACGATTTGGTGACGCGTTCGAGCCTCGGCGGGACCCTGAATTTGACCAGTACCGCCGTCCACCTCCTCCTTGCTGTAGGGAATACCACTGGTGAGTTGAGCCTTTGTGGACGGTCGCATCGATTCCTCTCTTTTATGGATCAGGCACCTCGAAGTGAATGACGGATTCGTGGTCGATAGTCTGTCCCATTATTAGGTTCATTATGCTTCTCTCAGAATTGAGTTCATAAAAACTGTCAGAAATCAGTGCTTATTTTAAAAAGAATGAGTTCCGTTGTCTGTTAACATGAATGTAGAGTAATGTAAAAGTCGATCGTCATTTGAAATCCTGTGAATCACCCTTGGAACAGCTTCCTTTGGTTGCTTGTGGAACGTTGTTTGGGCTATTTTATATGCTGCTCTTTGAAAGATTTTCGCCACTTCATCATCAACTAGTTTCTCAACACAGGAAGCACCAAGGATTTGAATTTTTTTCCTCTGGAAGAGCTACTTTTTTCAGCTTTGCAGGATCCATCTGGTTCATACTTTCAACATGGAATGAAGTCCCAAAGCGACTATGGATGAAAAGCACGGGAAATTTGGCTCCTGGCACATCTACAGCCATAAAGAACTATTTGAAGTCTCAGGAATTTCGACGCTTTGAAAATCCGAACCAGATTCCGAAACGATTTTTACATGGAAATGTGGTACATTTGATGGCATCATCAGTAGATTTTCATGGATATGAGAATTTGTCATCCTCCTTTATCATAGTAACCTATTGCTTTTCTTTCTGTTTCAGTGATCATTATGTGCAAGAATGGTGTTCACAGTTCAAGAAAGAATGTTCATTGTTGAAAGTTATATTAAGAATCGAAGTTATTTACTCATTTACTAATTTACATGCATTCTCCAACGGGTTGCGTTCCTTTTTGAACACTGTATTTTTTGGCGTAGGTGCTTGCGAGAAAGTAATTCGAACATGTAAAGATTATATGAAAAAAGAGAATATGCATATCACAATCTTGTTATTAACTTCAATGATTGAAATGTTCTTGTCTTTCCTCGCAGGTTCCGAGAACAACCTGAGTAAGCATACAAGCCGAGGGATTTCATCCAAGCATCTCATGACAACGGTGAATCTCCTTCAAATATTTTTTTCAATTCTTTCAAAACTAAAAATAACCCATGTGGCATGTACCCACAATCTAACTTGGGAGATATTCACCAGCATATGGTTAAAAGGAGAGAGTCTTGGATTAGGAAAGTTAATCCTTTTGCTACTACGATCGAGTAAACTCTATTAGCTCTTTCTGACTCTCACCGCAGCAAAAAAGACGTGCTCTTCCATTTCTTGGACGGAATCTAGAACTTTTGCTCGTAGCTTCCAGATTGACTTAAAAGGAAGCATTTTTAGGCTGCTCAATTTTATTCCCAGGGAACATGAAGGCTCCGTTGAGGAGTGTTTTAGCAGGTGACAAAATTATTAGTGAACTACTTGCTTTCGTGGAATCAGATTAAATGAGCGAATCGAATAATGAGAAACAATGAAGTAGGGATTCAAGTGAGACTGAAAGTGACTCAGATGCCATCAACAGCTACAATCCGTCCAAATTACGGAAAAATAGATGCAGTACGTGGAATGGCGGAAGATTTTTCAACAACCATACACAGGCTTAGGGACGTGGGCTAAGGCCAGTCTCCAGGGTATAGATTAATACTGCTCTCTACTTAATTTCCTTGCGCAGTCGAGGCGGTGCTCTTCCGAATAAGGCGGAGTCTTTTTTCTTTATGACTGTGACTGTCCCTCACGTGTTACTCGTTCTCGAATTAGTTTTGCAACGTTGGTGATACACATTTTTTAAGGTTCAATCTCCACCTCTAGGAAACCCCAACCGAACAGACGCCAGCGTATGATAAGGCACCTTTACAGAACTAAAGTCAAGTATTCGTTCAAAGATTGCGGTAATAAACCGCCCGGTGGAAAACTCACGTGATTCCATATTCACCTCCCCCTTACAAGAAGTCCACTCCCCCTTCCCAGATTAATTCGTCACCTGTTGGGTGTCCATCAAGGCGGAAATCCACTTGTTGGAGGTATGTCCACCCGGTTTCAAATACACGTAGGGAGTTACTTAGATGTCTACAAAGTGGGGCATCCACCGGGTTTTAAGTTCTCCTATCCCCCTGTCATTGAGTCCCGGTATCAGCATGATGGACAGTTTGTAAAGAATAATCTCCTGTCCCGTTTCATAGTTATATAGCTTAACAATAGTATCGATGGAAGACATTACGACATACCTCTTTCCACAGAGGTTACTATCCGTGGACGAAATTTATGATGCGTGTGGCGATACCATGGGATGCTTTGGATGCAAAGGTAATCGTCCATGCGATTCTACGTGCATGGGAAGGCGGGACTGTGACGGTCTCGTCGCATTTCAAGGCTCTACAGACAGGACACGAGTCGCTTTCACTCTTGTTGGCAAAATCTCTGAAGAGTTGAGATACGTCGCAGCTGGCATGTCTACTGACGACCAAATGGTAACCTTTCAGATGGGCGCTTCGATTGGGTCTCATCGGGTAATTAAGCGGGGTCTCCCCGTGAATTGCAATGGTGGTTCCGTTTCAGGGAAGAGATGGTGTGGTGGAGTGCGTTTACGAGGGTGGACAAATTAATGTCAATATATACCGGTCATACAACATCGGTAAAGACACTCCGGTGAGAAACCAGAGACTCCCTCAGGTGAGTTTTCTTACAACTTACTGCAATTCCATCGATGCCAACGGCGAAGGAACAAAGGGATATGTTAGTGATAGAGATGTTATATTCTGTATTTTGGACGTCTAGGACGAGCAAGCTGTGATGATTTCAGAAAAAGTCGGTATCTTTGAAGATGGAGTGGTCAGGTGCGGTTTTACTCTTCCTGCTGGATTAACCTACAATGCCATGACTTTCAACCTAAACAATTCCACCTATAATGTTCTGGTCGCCGTCGGCGTTGCCACAGCACCCTCAGAAAATGGAACTGGTAAGTTACCCAAACAAAAATATTAGTTACTCGTTAAAAAAATTAGCATGATTACTCGGGGTGGGGGGGATTGTTTCCGCGCCGTAGGTAGTTCTTCCCCGACGGAGGACCTTCATGCACCTTCTTACAGAAAGAATTCGCTTTGAGCTACACAGAAAAAAATCAGTGTGTCAAATGACGCACAAAAGTGGTTCTTGGAACGTCCGGGCGACACGGAATAATGTATCATGAGATTTGACGTACTGAAACATGTCTTTTGGCACATCTTACTACATCAGTAGGCACATTTACAATATATGTGCCCAGCCTCATGATACGTTATTCCGTGTCGCCAGGCCATAATCATGTCATGAGACACAATTGGGCGAGTCCGTTGGGATATTCTCTCCTCCAGTGTGTCATTTGACACATCTTACTGCATCTCTAAACGCGTTGAAACGTGTCAACCCTTGTGACACATTTTGTCACAACCGATATGAAGAAATTCTCTCATGACACATATACGTGCGTCAAATTACACATTATATCGCGTCATTTCTCTCTGTGTAGGAAGACACACGCCTCTCAGGATGCTTCGTCTTAGAATACGGGTGTTTTAGACATTGAATGTGACTATTCGATCGGAGTTGACAATCGCGAGCTGCACCTACGGCTTCTCACTGAGTGTTGAGGGGCGTCCTTCCCTGATTTCTTTTTAGTTGTGCCTTGCCAAGCAGGCAAGACTGCACCGTCAATGGAAAGCTTACGTTGTGGTACCTGTCCACCGCATGGTCTCGGAAAAAATTCCTAATGCATTGTCCCAAAAATATCACTGTCACTGTCATACCTGTCATGCCATCCTTATTTGCTATTTTTTGGGACGGTAAAGTGATTAGGCAATACTACTTTCGTACTTGTCAGTGATACTGTCCAGGAGGAATGAAGGAATTTGAACATGAATCCCTATCACATGTGCTCAATCCAAAATGCGGAGCAATGTCTTCATGTATCCTCATGCGTTCAGAGATGATGGGGAAGATGTCGCCCTTGAAAAGTCTCATTCATTAACCCTTTTAGTGCCATGGGAACTACATATAGTCTATCAAGCCTATACATCGCCCGCGTGGCACTGAAACGGTTAACAGCTGGACCCCAAGGACGAGGAGGCATAGCCATACATTGACCAGGCTCATCCGAAGGAAATAATTACTAGATTGAGAAGAACCAAAAGCGCGGGAGAAATTCTAGTCAAGAAGTGAGCAAGCGGGAATTTGCCTGCAATTAGTCTAATTTTAGAAGGTACGGTGTCGTCAGGCGTAGCAGAGACTTGTCATCGGCTTGAACTTAGATGTCATATCCTAGTCTTATTCGTGTGGGAGGAAATGGTGACCCATCGAATTATATATTTAGGCTGAGGAATTAGAAAGGTTCAATAGTGGAACTCAACTGCTCCACCACGATCACCAAGTTCACGTTCATGCACGATCAATAAGTCATCTTTTATAAAGAAAGAAATCCATACCTCATTTGAAAGTGTCATCAGTGGATTAATACTGCTATCTGCTTGGTAATCTAGAGCGCGGATCAAAAAGATAGCGAGCGTCGTCAGCATGACCCCTCGAAATTATTCTCTATCGTATTTCTGAACGTAGGCAAGGCTACAAATGAGACACTAAAAGTATTACCTTTCCTGGTTACTTTACAATAACGGCTCAGTTAACTGTCTGGTGTTGTCTGCAACTTTTTTGGCATAGCCTGCATACTTTATCGGAAACAGCAAAGATATTGATCACCGTGAGACCATACAGGAGGGCAGACCGACAGTGATGTATGTAGAGCGATCCACAAGTTGTAATGAGACAAATGCCACAACGGAGTGGCGTGGTTCTATTAGCCAATTTTATATGATTTGAAGCCTCATTCGGGATTCCAGAATCGTTCCGTTGCGCATTAAATTTTCGTCGCACAGAGCGCTTGAAAAGTCCAGTTTGAAGTTTTAATTTCGAGCCTTGAAACCTGTAAATAAACGGGTTTTAACATAATATTAAGGGATTTGATTTCCTCGTGAAAGAATGTAGATATTGCTGAGCGTGAAGTGTGTTTATGAGCAAAACTATACGTTAAGTCCTTGTCATTCGAGTATGAGGAAGCCTTTACACGGCCATCAAGAATAACATGAACAATTCCTGTATTGAATATTCTGATCAATCAATGATCTGAATATTCAATACAGGAATTGTTCAATGAATATCTGTCTTGAGGCCACACCTCCGAGGAGCACTCTAGTGCTTCAATTTTTCCTCGTGAACACATTTGTGCGAAATTTGACAGGTAGTTTCTCGTAACTTGAAATAAAAAATATGGAAGGCTTTCTTTCATTCTTTTTCTGAAATAAGGTCACCAGGCCACGAAAAGTTGCATCTACAGGGTGTTCCATAAGTCCCTTGACCCCCTCCACCTTTTTTTTCTTGTTTCAGGTGAATTATGGTTAGGATTTGTGTAGATACGAGTGACCGAGGCCCTGTTACGCTAGAAGAGCGTTTAGTGGTGAGTTTTTGGGTGCATTAGCGCCAACAAAGTGGAAAAAACGACACATTTGTTTGCGGACTTTCGAGCCCGATTTGGCAAAAATCCTCTACGAAATGTCTCATCGCACCTGGCGCCTCATCATTTTGAGTTCATAAAACGATGGCGCCCATACTGATCCACTTGATCTCCAAATGATCCCTAGTTTCTGGAATGAGGGTTATTAATTGTCAATATGTATGTTGTTTCAAATGGAATACGTTTTATTTTGCTGCCACTATTATTCATTATTATTCAAAAGAAAAAAAGGTGGTATCAAGGAACTTATGGAACACCCTGTATACAGCAAAATATGAAAACTTAGCATCAGGCCATGTGCGACTTTGGTAAGCATCAAGCAATGGCCACCATTCCAGTTTTCTAATCTTGATCAACCTCTTGATCAAGTTGGTGAACATTTCTTTCGTAGACATGTCAACACGGCTTCAAGGTTAAACCATAATACCGACATTATAGCCAAGTAGTGTGTGAGAAGAAGAAAAGTAAACTAACCTTGCTTATCAAAAAATACCTTATCCTGACTGACATCGAAAGGTGGCCTCAAAGGCCAACTTTCTCCCATTTCCTCGGAAGCTCGACGATTGCGTTATTATTAAGTGCAGATGCAACTCTTTACGCTCTAGTCCAAACCATGACCCTGATTGATCGTAAGGTTTTCTTGTGCAGTGGAACAATGTTTTGGCACGCGGGTAGAAGACGAGAGAACTAGTTGAAAACTTTCCTGTCCCGAGATCATACTTTAGAATTCATTTTGTGAAAATTCATACTTCGGTATAAGTACCACACATATTTAAAGTTAAGTATTTATTAGGAATATAAATATTTTAAGGTAGATATCCTTTTTATGTCTACCATCGCATTGATGGTGAGCAAGTAACTGGCACCAAGCCCTCTCAACTGCGCCAAATCAACATCAAACAATGAAAAACATTTTCCTTTCATTCAATTTCCATGGTGAATAATTCATAGTGTCATTCTATCAACCCAATTCACTCATTTCATCTTGCGACTCGATTACTGATGCTTATTTTTGCATATATGACCATAGTTTCAGGTGTAGCGCCTATTGGTAATAAAGTATGGCTCTTCCTGGTGTGTCGAATATATTATTCGAGTTGGATACATTTAGTCAAGGAATGCTGTCTTATGAACGGAATCTTGACCTTTTCACTGAAACCGTTTAAATTTTGTAACTCATTTTTCTTAAATTGTGTTGTACCTCAATATTGCTGATATGATCAAAATATTAAAAAAAGTGGCTCATCCTGCGATTTCCACTTGCAGGAAATGTTGGCTTTCACACTATTGCATTTGGGGCGTCGGCAGAACCTGTGGATTTTTTCGGGGTCAGCACACCCCAGGCTGCGAGTAATAATCTGATCTTAGTTCATGGAATTTCCATGGTGTTGGCCTGGGTCTTCTTTGCCTCAAGTGGCATCATCACTGCCAGGTACTTCAAGAAAACCTGGGTCGGGACCCAGGTCTGTAAGAAGGACATGTGGTTCACGGTGAGTTCATGCATCTCCCCACCATCTTGATCTCATTGGTTAAACTCATTCTTGACGATATCTTTCTGGTTGTGTTCAAAGATTCACCGAGGTTTTATGGTGACGGCCTGGGCGCTAACCATCGTCGGTTTCTTCTGCATCTTGGCTCATAAAGACTGGGAATTCCTCGAAAAGCCACATCATTTGGTGGGGGTCGTGTCGGTGGTGCTGTGTTTCATCCAACCTTTCATGGCTCTTTTGAGACCTCATCCTGAGGACCCTAATAGGCCCATCTTCAACTGGGTTCATTGGGGAGTTGGCACTGGTGCCCATGGCCTCGCAGGTGAGCCCCATCAAACAGTTCATCCATGAGGATGTAGCACGAAAACAGCAGAACGATTTCACTTGAAGGAGGAGAACCAGCACCAGACACACCATGCTTGTTTCTAGAACCCAACATAGGAAATATGTAAGATAGTAGCATCATCGCTTCTTGAGCGACTTCACGTTCGCCCCAGAACATGGATACATGTACACTAGGAGTACAAAAATTTTCGGTGCTAAGTAAGAATAGTGCGAGATCATGCCACTGACACCATGAATGCTAGACTTTAAGACGTGTGAATCGCCCGCGAGGACAATCCTCGAGCATCTACGAGTACACGTACATGGGATGCATGCTGAAAACGCAATTGTAAAAAACTAGCGCGTATTTGCTTGATATTCTTCGAATGCTTGAAGGTATCTAAACAATTTTTCTGGTATGTACGTTGGATGTCACTTCCCTACAAATGTTCAGGGCAGTCATCACATGGACATCATAATTGTTTTCTTCGTAACCCATTCTCCTTGACTGCAGTAGGACTGGCTCGAACTCCGAGTGAATGCCCCAAAGGAGGATTGACGCACAATGCCTGTGGCTGCGTCGAGGAAATGCCATCCTTTCGTTTTCGCAAGACAGTGTGCTAGGAAGTTCGATTATGTTGATGATTTATATAAAGAAAGGTAGAATTCGCAACAGCTGATGATTGCTGTTCTTGAACGTGTAAAAGTGGGACTTGGTAGAATTCGAAACATAGACCTTGGTCTGGCTTGCTTTGATTTCTTGATATGTGATATTCAGCTTGTTGGCCCAGGTTGTATTCACCCATTTGCAGAAGTTTCGGCGAGCCAATGAATCTGTGCTAACCTGTGGGTAGTAGACTTAAAAGCAAGGTTACTAGAGAGGAAAAACTGACCGGGGATACTATTTGCAGACAACTTCGACTTCCGCAGAAACGCACTTTGAGAAGGAACAGCTCGGAATTGAAGGGCATGCTGTGCAAGACAGACAGGGTGGCGAAGCGTGCCTCTGGAAGGAGAAACCTTGCCGACGCTTTTATCGCAAAGACGTCAAATCAGTGTAGTAGATACATGCAACAGGGTGAATTTTAGCTTCGTTGCAAGCAATAGAAGCGGCAAATCCTCAGTCACGTCCTAGCAAAACTTAGAAATTAATACTTATTTTGATGAAGTACAAGGTACAAGAAACCTTTATACCTGAGACCAGGAAAACTCAAAGTTTGATATAACTTCAATTATACCAAAATGATGTAAGACTCATTGCAATTCCACTTCGGAATAAGTTTCCCAGAACCCCGCATTCATAGAAAAATATTGTCAATGTTTGACATTCCCCTTTTTCCTGTAGCATCGATGCAGGTGGTGGAAGTTCAGAGTTGTAGAAGGACAATGTGCATTTATACAGAGTGATTCATATGCTTGTTACCACTCTATTTACGTTATCGGAGGGAGTAGAAATAATGTGTTCAACAAAGAAACCGATTCCACTATGAAAAGAGGGCCTTTTTTTCCTGCAGGTCATGGGGCTTTTATACCTGAGCTATGTTCGACCGCATCTTTTGACGCCTGTACGAAGGACACTTGTAATTACTCCATCCACATCGGACGACGTACTATACGCATCATCCCCTGACCTTCCGCATGGCCTATGGCCTGGAAAGGCATAGGCTTGTAGGCCTCCAGCGTCAAGCCACAGTAGAATTCCTTGTCAGATAGACCGAAAAGTTGTTTGATGTGGATAGGTGAAGGACCCCGTGGGATTGAGGCTAACTTCAGCATAGATCGCTTTCTTAAGTTCCTGATGTTTTTCGGTTCTCTTCCGTGCGGTGTTTCTAAGAGATTCCCAAAAGAAAAATAGTCCGGGGGGTTCGAGGACCACATCGATCTATCCATTTACCAGGAAATTTAGCATCCAGGAACAAATACACTCTTCTGTCGTAATGTCAAGAGGGAGGGGGGGGGGGGCACAGTCTTCTTGAAAGAGCAGGTCCAATTTGGAAATTCTGAATTTGAGCATCTCAGGAATTTAAACCATATTGCCTGTAGAAATGTGCTCTTTTCAATGGTGTAATTCGTTTCCTCATGAGACAAACTGTTCTCTCCATATGAATGTAAGTATATTGGAAACATACCTATGTTCACCTTGTACATTCAATGACAGATCATTGAATCAGGTTTATTTCCTCGTAAACAGTAGAAAAAAAATCAGTGATTTGGTCTCTCTTTGCTTCTTCAGTGGCAAACATATTTTTGGCGTTCGACCTGCAGTCCATCCGTTTCCCGAAGCAAAGCTTCATCATCATGGGGGTGTTTGTCGCGATATACCTACTAGTTCATATCATCCTGCAGGTAAGATATATTCATCCTCATCAGACACTACAATCTGTGTTTCAAGGGCATACTCCCCCTCCTGATTAGTCAGGTGTAATACATACATTTTTATCATCAGGTTCAGGTATCACCATTTTTGGGCAAAAAAGCGGAAACGTTCAAGCTGGATGATTCAGATGGGACAAAGACAGAGGACAAAGTGAGTCATGTTGATTAAGTTTTATGTACACGAATTTGTACGTATGCCCTAAATATGTCTTGTAAAGCTCAAGATGAGCCATGAACACCTGTTTTATTTTTCATTCCAGAGATCGGTATTTCGGCAGATGACTTGGACCTTCTTTCTCATGGCATCTGGAATCACTTCTGTCTTGCTTTCCATTCTAATTACAGGAAAGTTGACGCTTTGAGAACTTGAATGAAGGAACACAACTGGAACTGTGCTTATAAAAATAATAGGAGCACTCGCCTATTGCTTTCTAACTCCAACCAAAACGGTGAAAGTGAATAAACTGGTAATAATTGATATACTGCACAGTATTTTGGTGTTTTAGGGGAATTGTTAAATGGACACATGCCTTAAAATGAGATGATAAAAAAGGAAACTCGGGTCTTTGTGCTTCCAATTGCTACGAGCATCATGTGGTTTAAGTAGAGGAAGTTCTGCTGGTTTGGGGAAAGGAAGTATTCCAACTTGAAGCCATTTCAAAAAATCACTTCATGAGTAAATTCCAGATTGTTGGATCTTTGTTGTGATCTCCCATTCTTCCAAAAGATGAAGACTACCCAGCGTCCTTTCCATTCAAGTCCCCAGTACCTTCAATCCATAAAACAGTGACACCATTGATAATGATTTTTAAAAAAGTCCCAGATATGTAAACGCTTCCCAGATTGAATAAAAATCAGTATTTTTGCCTTTGTCGTATTTTTTTTAACTTCAACGTACCCCCCCCCCCAAAAAAAAAAAAAAAACTTGAACCCATGGAATTTGACACGAGAATATGCCACTCAGGTCTCAGGGGATTAAAACTGCTTTCTTCCATTTACCAATTCCTCTCAAGCGAAATTTCCATTCAGAGTTGCTCTCACTCAATGTAGAGCTGTTGTGATGGAAAATCGATAGTGAAAGCGGTCTTGCAGGAAAATGCTATCGTGAAACAATCTTGGCGTAACTTTGCATGCTAGGATTTCTCAGCACTTAGAACAACTATCAGAAAAATTCATAGACGCCATAGGTGATTTATCTGACTCCGTTCCGACACTAAACCTGGAAATTTAATCCCGGATGTAGGATTGTCTATTTTGACGCATGCAATCAGGGCCAGGCAATCTGGAATCGAGGAGGAAGATAACAGAAATATGTGTTTGGATGCAAGGGGCTTCAAGTACATTTCATTACTAAGCGTTCTTTATGCACGGCAAGACCGACTAAAAGCTATTTCTGCATTGAGTATTTAATATAGATTAGATAATAACCCACGGAATATTCCCTTGAGCTTCGAGCTAAAATGTTTTGCATTTCAATATCGCCGCTTTCCAATGCAGAAAGCCAGGTCCCTCTGACAAAACTCTTCTATATATACTATCCGGGTTCTTCAGCACTGTGTTTTGAATCCTTTTTTTCCCTAAAGATGAACCTTTGAAATTGAGTTAGCTCGATGCGTAAGATAAAGTCATTCAGCTCGAGTGCCGATCTTGTGACTTTTATGGCTTTTATTCTGAAACTGTAGGTTTTTAAGCGATTTCCCACAAAATGAATACCAGATACCGTTTCATTACCAAGTTATGCAAATGAGGCGAACTATGTATCTTGTCTTCTAATCCTGTTGGCTGGAGTTGCCTCGAGTGTGCAATTTGATTTTAATTTGCATCGAACCGTTTTAATTCAATATGAATGTAAAACTAATACTCGTATAAGTTTAAACTCGCAACCGATTTATGACACTTGCTCTGAGACAAGTCAATCCTGGATTGGTTGTCATGTCTGGCCAAAGACGAAGGACCCTCCTTCAACGATCCTCCTCGATGGATGGGCAGGTCCTTGCTAAGGAGAGGCGAGAAAATACGTAGATGGCAGTTCATAACGTTTACGTCACGTAGTAACTCTTGTAACGTAAGTGAAAGACGCAGAAGTCTTATATGATACAGTGCCCATTTGTGCATTGGACGCTCCCCCATGCGCCCAATTTCGCACACATCATTTGGCAAGATTATCATTTCCTCTCTTCAAGATCCCTATTCACTTACTTCTACACTTTCCCATTTAAAAAGTTACTTCCTCCTATTCCTCTCAGAGAGCAGCCGGAGGAAGGATATAGGATATGCTTCTTATCCTCTCATTACAGAAGCATTCCAACAAATTTGAAGCGCTTTCTCTCCTGGATTACGGAGAAAACATGATCTCGATTTAACAGTAGTGAATTTCCGTCTAGTACTTAAAAAAAAAACATTCGCATCCAGGAAGTTTCTGGTCTGTCTAACCTAGAAATAGGCTGCCTTAGCCTGATGAGCACGGCCTGCAGCCCTATGCCTTTCTAGGCCATAGGTTACGGGGAAGGGCAGGGGACGATGAGAACGAGTTAAAGAAACACTTTAAGTAAGTGCATCTAAGACCTAACGTTGCGCTCTGTATCGAAATGTCTTGATATTCCCGAGACGGATTCTTCATTGGTCAAATTTTTCCCGTAAGTCGAGGGGTGAGACTTGTGTGCAAAAAGAAAAATTAAATTAAGGATAGGGTTGAGCTGAGAAGACTCCATAAGTTAGGCCCAGGCTTGTAAGATTTGTCTTGTCTTATGATAATTCTAATATGGTAATTACTATTGTGGTGATGTGTCATGTATAGTCTGGACTGTGCCTCATTACTCGTGATGGGGGCTTTAAATAATAGTGTTCGCATTGCTTAGCGTTCACGTGGGCGAGACTTGTAGCCAAAATGCACACGGTTGATGTCATCCCCAGTTCTCCGTTTGCGCACGCAAAGAATACGAAGACGTGGGTGAGATATCCAAAACACAGCCGTAGGACCGCTTTATCTCACATTGTGCGCTTGGGAGGTAACGCCAGAATATTGTTGATCGGTGCCTCTCAGCACAAGTTCCTTATCATGAACACGAAAACATTCAGAACCATTACACCTTCACTTAGCTTGGAAATGTCACGTTTTCCCACTATGAGATAGGCTCATTCGCGCCACTTCCCGAAGGACACATTTCCTTGCAGTCACGATGACGCAGAACGAAAGCAGCCACTACGGTATCCTTGTTTTCGGGCCGAAACACGGCACCACAGTTTTTGTCGTTCCTTCACCGTGCGTTGAAGTTCGACTTAGCTTGGCGAAACGTTCGAAACTTAACGGCGCATTTCCGCGAAAGCGGGAGAATTCATTTTCACTGCTGGAAGTTATTTTCTGACCAATCGAGGGGTATGTGCGCACGCGGGTTCGTGGGGAAAAGGATAAGATTAAGGGCATGATATGAAGGGCACGATCCCTTATGAGCTGCTTCAGAGGAAAATCGGGAAAGTGAGCGCAATTGGAAAACACATCCTGCATGAACCAGGAATTATGGACACGGTTGCATCATCTTCAATGAAATTTCAGTTTTTAAGTAACATGGGCATTACATTTTGACTTAGAGCAAGCAACATTCGGCCTACCGATTCCGAAAACTTGGAAAATCGTAACCCCTTCTCACGTAAGAGTTCTAATTAATATCTATTTCGTTGTTAAACATGGATGAAGGAAGCACAAGAATAATTTCACATACGGTTTATGGAAATATTAAATAATATATATATCGTAGGAAGTTATAAAATAAACGCAGCACTGAAAGCTGCAATGAATCGCAAAACAGAATCATTTGGGCGAAGTGAAGAAAAATAGCGTGATCATTATTAATGTCTCACGGGAACCACTCGTATGAGGCAATTCATACTTTTTAGAGCATTAAGTTTCTCATATCAGAGCAGTTTTTCCGCTTAATTTACGGTGCAAGTGCCGTGCCAAGACCAATTTTACCTTTACTTCGCGCATTTCCTTCGTCCCTAGTTATTATTTTAACTTTGATTTGATTTTGACGATTTTGATTCATGACTTGGGCCTGCATTGCGATGGAGACAAAAGATAAGTTGATTGCAAGCGGATAATTTCTTAGAACGAAATTTGCCTCACAAAGCCGTAGCACGCGTTTCTCGAACCGCGACACTTCATGGACTTCGCACTTCCCTTGCCGCACATTCGCGTCTAGGGTCAAATCGGTCTCACAAAGAAATGGAGTGGAGAACAGTGCTCCACGATAAGGAAATCCCATATTACATAAAACGGTTTTGGCGTGTTTTGCTCACGGCTCTCTCCGAATATCCCTTATCGCGAGGTCTTGATCTGGAAGCACCTTCCAGCCGATCCTTCATTCGTGTATTGCTTCTTGTGGTGACGAACTTCGGCTAAGCTTATGCCCTTCCCAAAGTAGGTTCGTTCTTGATCGAGTTTAACAATAAGTTCGGCATCGAGTGGAAAGATTTTCAGAACTATTCACTGGTGCCCATTAGAGAGCATTATTTTCATAGTTCACAGAAATTCAATCAAATTTACACGGTGAGGAAGCGGTGTCCGAAAAAATGAAATTCGGTGACATCCTGTGGATTTTCCCGTACGAGACCCAAATTTCCCCTAAGCAACTCGTATATCACGCCCAGGTAATAGAAACAAATTTAAAGCGACAATATCGTATAGGGTGTAACTCGAGGCGGTTGGAGGAGGAGGTCCCACTCGAGTCCATTCATTGATGGGGTCGCAATGTGGATGTCACTCTCGACCCTCCACCTAGCGGGCACACGGGAATAACTCCTCCAAGGCCTAGCAACGGATTCCACGAGACATTAGTATTCCATAGAGGTACTTCCTATGGGTCGAATTCCGATTCCGCTGCCACGAAGCATGTCTCACGTAAGTGTTGTCGACGATGGGCCACCCCACCTGTTGTCTGTAATATTTGCCACCCCTCCACCGCCTCTCGGAGCGACGCCTTTGAATTGCACTTTCTGCTCTATGACAATGCATTGAGTGTTGGAAGAAAAATACCTGGTGGTGTGACGGCAACCCAAACGACCCGAATGCACAAACCTCATATGGAGGAGACAAAGGGGCCTTCAAGCTAAAGAGCTCTTTCCCTCCTGCAAGAGTCCATGTTCAGTGTTCTTAAATGACCGTAAACTGAAGGAGGTTTCAGCGTTCGGGCTTAACACTTAGCGTACCGCTCACGGAGATCCTCGTTTTTGAGTCCTTTCGCGAGCCATTTTGCCCAGCCTATGGTCGAAAAAGTCATCGCCTTATAAGCGTCGAGCTTTAGGCTAGGGCAACTGAGGCTTCGGCCCGAGTGGCGGATCGACGGGGTATAATGTAATAATGTCCGGTACGCAATGTGTTAAGATTATTCACGGCGAAGAGGAGAAGAAATAGAAAGTGTGGAAATCCCAAGAAACCCGGACGTTGGGTTGCGTCCATTCGCATCAGAGTGAGCTCTGAGACGAGAGGATTCTGTCTCATACGATTCAAATTCAATCAAGGCTGGCATATATAAGACAGGCTTAAGAGACAGGCACGCAGTTAGCGAACAATACTATATAGCTTCAGACCTCTCCTGTAAAAGAGGATGGGGGGGAGACCTGTGCGTGTGCACGTGGGTTCTCCACCTCTCCTTTAGTATTGGCCTTCTGCGATGTCCCAGTTCTTCCATGTTTCACGAGGGAAACGTCACGAGCGCAGCGTAACGCAAACTAAAGTTAAACCATGTGGAAAGGTGTAACCGAAGCGAAGGTAGGTGCTGCTCCAGTCACGAAAATTCAACTATCGTGGAAATACTTTCTTATCCAGAACGCATGCATTCTGATATCTGAATACGAAACCAAATGAGGGGGGGTTGGGGATGATACGGGAATAGAAAGCGAGGAAACGGGGACCGGGATCCATTCGCTCTCGGTTCGACCTGGAATCCCTGCACCCGACGCCTCGTCGACTCCAAGCCCCTTTCCTCCGCCACCGCGAAAAGTGGATGCACAAGATCCGGATCCCCCATTGCGGTTCAAACGTTGCGTGGGCTTGCAGCGTCAAAACCTAACTGAGGAGATTCTCGAGTGTGTTTATTCCCCAAGTTCAACACGTGATCGCTCACGAGGTTATTCGCATTTCTCGAGAGTCTTCGCCTCGATAAGCGTTGCGCTCTCGAGTGTCTGTATGGAACCTCAAGTGCGTATGGGATGCCGGGAACTCTGAACCATTCTTTGATAAGGCTGTATCTCGCTTCCAGCCAGCCTCTTTTTTTGGTAAGAGAAGTTAGGCTCTTTATGAGAGTTTTGATGTTCATAAAAAAAAAGGGTTTAACGCAATTCACACATGCGGCAAATATGTCACCTTTGTTTATGAGCTCGAGGAAATTCTTCATACCTTCACTTTTTAAATATAAACAATGGTAGCTAGGCATAACATTTATCAGATTTGCTCCCCTAGACAAACGGCAGGCGACTCAAGTGCGATTGCTGATTGCCTCGCATCTTTTCGTCCCTCGTATTAGATCTAGGTTCAGGCTCTTCAAGAATGGAGAGACTTTCCAACTCACGTGACTTGTTGTTCGCGGTCACCGTCGCTTGCTTGGCGCTCGCCTCGGTCGCCGGGGCCCCCTCGAGGGAGCCCTGCGCTCCCCGCGTGGAAGACTTGCTCCGAGGCAGGCCCTCGTCGGAGTGGAGAAGCCTGGACTTGAGTGTCGCGGAGGAGACGCCTCCCGTTTTCGCGCTCGATTTGCACTTCCCGTCGAAGGTGGGGAAGTTCGTTTACTTGTGGGTGGAGGCACGAGGTGTGCCCGTCCCGGGCACCTTCGGCCGCTTCCATGGGATCGCCGAAGAGAAGATCTGCGCCGATGAGGTATGTCGCATTTCGTGTCAATGTCCCATTTATATTCTCAATAATGTAAAAAGTGCTCTGTAGAAACAGATACAACTTGGAGTTACGAACATGATTCATCGAAAAGTAGTTTTAAAAAGCTGGCTTGTTCATGTTGCTTTCTGTAAGCATTCTGTAAGCAAAGGGAAACGCCTCGTGCACAACATCATCAATCTTTGCGTACGAGACATGGTGGAAACGTCTGGGTCGCCCCCATAATGGGTTTTTTACCTTTTTTGCGTCATTTTCGTTGGAGTTGATGAAATCTGACCGAAGGTGGAAACTGATCCCATCATAGGTACTTAATTCTGAATTCGTAAATCAGCAGTAAGCCCAGGGCAAACAGACCCACGACCTAAATTCTGGTTCAAAATGTATTTGTTTCTCAATTTCCCTGGACGGATGGGACAGTCAGCAGAGATCGATGAAGCTTCCAGCAGGTTTTTTCACTTTTAATATGGATAGGGACATCTTGAATGGAAAACACTGATAGAAATATTGTTCTGGCTGCAGTTGGCCATGTGCTTATGTCCGGGTTTATTTATACTTCAGGCGCATTCAATGTGCAAGGCCGGCCACAAGCACGTCCAGTGGGCGCTTGTGGACAAGCTGGTAATTTATATTTATTGAGCTATTATGGTAATAGGCTAAATTCGTGTCACGACTGGTGACACTGCTGAGCTGAAGTTCACACGACCCAAAATGAGAAGCATGAAAATTAACATATTCGGTGTCTCGGAATTGATATACATTGGAGGTTTTATACTCGGGCCGCTCTGACCTAGATATATGCTACTTTAGCTTAACGCGCGGAGCCCACAAGATTAAGCCATATTGGCCGAATAGTTCCTCGATGCGAATGGGCTAGGCGGAAGGACCTATGTTTGGGCGATTCTGGGACACCTTGCATAACTTCACCTTGTGCGAGAAGATCATTTCTAGTTGAACACCTTTCATCCGCTCTTACTTGCCAGGTGATATTCTGGGGTGTCCCAACCTTGAAGGAGGCACAGATGACCTGGGTGCCTGATTCGAACCTGGACTTGCACGCCGGCGACATCGTTTTCAAGTCAGTCCTCTTTCCTCTCTCGATACAATTCAATGTGATTTATTTATTTGGAGGCTTCATGCATGCAGCCATTATCATTCGGCAACGGGGAGACACTCCGCTTGGGCTTGGAAATCTGGCACCTAAGTATTCCGCAGGTCTGCACAGGCTTGGCACCGGAACAAAATATTTAATTCGTCGTCCGCCTCTCGACAGAAGGGACAAATATACTTTCTCTCATCCGCTACACTCGCTAGTGTCGGCCGTTTCCATGTTCCTAGCATCAGAGTGGCTATCTGGAATCTCACGAGCTTGTTCCGTCCCTCGAGAGGGACGGAACAAACTCCTCTCCTGCCATCAAGTGAGAAGGTCTATCTTCTAACTTAGGCCCCCTTAGGGCAGCCCCCTTAAAGGGATAGTGGGACGGTGAAGCCATCTAGTCATCCCGTACGGCTACGAACGCGCTTTTGCGTGCACTCCACCGTTCACTCGATCGGGTACTTGACCACGGATGACGGCAGCGTTCTGGCCGTCGCTTGGCTTCTTGTATCGCTGCGAAAGTACTTAGGAAACGCGTTGGTTCGTGTCGATCTCATTTCATGGCATTGAATCGAGTCCACCCTCGTATGCGAATTGCCTATAGCGTAAAATATATTTAAAATTACTTTGAGACGATGTTATTTATGATTCTTCGCTTACGTTAGAAATAACGTAATTTCTAACGTAAGGATATGTAAGTAATGAGAGAAAATTTAGGCTGTCCACATTGAACCTAACGCTTGCAATAAACCACTTGAGGAAGGGCAACTCTTCTATGATTTAGTCCGTCTGAGTTCCCTGATCGGTCATGGAGGACGAGACCTTGGATAGAAACACGGAGCTTAGCTGGAACGACAGCTCCTGCACAATTTTCAAGTGCCTGTTGCATCACTGATACGCCCCTGAACTGTATGTTCTCTTCCGTGGCACACTCCACTGCCTGCGAGGAGAAAGTAAAGGCGCATGCTGGGAAGAACCGCGTTGTGACCGTCGCAGTGCGCTGTAGAATGGAGCAGAGGAGGTGCGTGAGGTCCGAGTTTCCTTATTGATGGCAAGCAATCCAGATTAATGTGGACTCGCTTTGCGATGCTATGACTGGGTTCGAAGCTAAAAATGCAAAATCCTTCTGTCGTGAGATATTTAGTTCGTTCCGGTCCAACGAAATCCCAGCCTTCCGTTTGGCTTCAAGTTTGACAATAACGGAGATAAGTACCATAGCGCCATGCATTCGCAATGACCAGCACGTACTTGAAATATGATGATGATTCGGATTTGCACGAATTCGGACTTACGGTTTTATTTCGAATTGAGTTCGTTAAAAATTACCTCGTTACTATTACTATCTCTCCCATTGTAAATCCCATTGAATCCTTTTGCAGAAGTACAGTAAGTCGTCCCCAGAGTCACGATCGTAATTGGAGATCTTCTCAAGTGTTCCGCCTGTTGGTAGGTCCGAGGCGTCCATCTTTTCCGTTTTAATCTGTTCTCAGTCCTCTTCGTTTCCACAAACGACCCTTCCTTTAGATCCTCCAGCATGCTAATTCTTATCCTTCCTGTAGGTCTTTTCCCTTCCATTCTTCCTTCTACAATCCTTCGCGTAGAATGTGTCCAATCCAGTTCATTCTCCTCGCAATCATTTCCACTAGCCTTCTTTTTTCCTCAACTGCATCCAGTGCTTCTTCATTTGTTGTTCGATGCATCCGGCTCATTCGCTCCATCCGACTTCGCACCCACACGTGAAAAGCCTCTAACCTTCTGATGACTTCCTTCCTCAAAGTCCATGCTTCTGACCAATATAAAGCCACACTTCAAACTTTCTTCACCTCCTGACTCATTTCCTTTGTTAACACTTTGTGTACCACTCAGGGAGATGTCAGTTTTTGAGTCCTTTTGCTTAGCCTATGGCCAAAAAGTGAAAGCCTTGCATCGAGCTTTAGGCTAATGTAACTGAGGCTTAGGCCAGAGCAGCGGATTGACGGGGTAAAATGTTTGGTACGCAATGTGCTAATAACTCATTTCTCCATTTCTCATGCTATAGTAACCTTTTCCATTCCTATTTTTGCTCTTATCTGTCCCTCACACTTTCCATCATCCGTGGTCATAGTTTTTAAGTACTTAAACTTTTTCACCTGTTCCACTTTCTGGCCATCAATCAAAATATTACCTATTTCCCCCTCATTTCCTAGAACTCTCCATCACCCTTGTCTTCCTTCCTTTGATCTTCATATCACACTTCTTGGCCACCGCGTTTATCCCATCCATCAATTTTTGAAGACCTTGTTCTGTGCTCGCCATCATGCCTTGGTCATCTGCAAACCGTAATCCGCAGTCCTTCAACGCCTTTCCTTCACACCTTCCTCAATCCCTTCCATGGCCTCCTTCATCTCTGCATAATTCGAGAACGGAATCAGAGATAAAGAGCATCCTTGCCTAACTCCTTTGCCAATACCGCGTGGTTCCGATTCGCCATCTGCTGCTCTTAACTACTGACTCCTGGTTTAAGTACAGCTTGCTGATTTATCTCCTGTCCATCCAATGCACTCCGATTTCCTTTAGTATCTCCATCGTCTTCACTCAGTTTGCTCTGTCAAAAGCCTTCTCAAAATCTAGAAAACATGGAAACAGTTTCTTACCATGTTCAAGGTTCCTCTCGCAAGGCATCCTCATCGCTCCAGTCGCTTCTCTTGTCCCACATCCTTTTCTGAGTCCAGACTGTGTCGTTCCTGTGGAGTCTGCTGCCTTTGTCTCTTTCCTACTTGTCAATGTCAACGTAATCTTTGATGCGTGCGTTACCAAAACTGATTGGTCCTGTTATCTTCACATTCTATTGAGTTTCTTTTCGTTTTGTAACGGGGCTGTCACTTTCTTTGTAAAATCCTCTGGCCGTTCTCCTTGCTGGTACGTGCTTCTGCATGAGTCTGTCAACTTCTTTGTTGCAGTGTTCTCCGAGGTTCTTCCAAAATTCGGTTGGTATTCCAGTTACACCTGCTTTTTTTCCTTTCATTTCCTTGATTGCGGCTTTGATCTCGCTTTCCAACAAACCTGGCCCTTCGTCTAGCTCAACCTCTTCTTCGGCCTCTAATCCAAAGTCCTCCGTCCTTGACTTTCCGTTCTTGTCATATAACAACTCTATGTATTCCTTCCACCTGTTCCTTATCTTGTCTGGCTCTGCCAGCAACTCTCCATTAATGTCCTTGATCACACTGCTCTTGATGTCTGGATTCCTTTGTGGAGTGATCTGCCTCATCTTGTTATATATAAGATCTGACCGACTTCTTTTGTCCATTCTCCTCCAGTTCTGCGCATTCATCGCCACTTCTCACTAGCTTTATCCGTTTCCCTTCTGAGCTCATTAGTTGTTTGTATCTCTTCCTCCCTTCCACTGTGTTCACATTTTTCCATTCCCTTCGTTCATCTATTTTTTTTGCAGCATTCCGTCTTTAATCCATAGTTTCTTTACTAATTGGAGATATACGATCTGAAACCGAAAACACGCGAAGTCGATTCGAAATTATTGGGCTCGCATCCTGCAGATGTCGTCATCTAACTGCGAACTTTGCTGCCGGTCGGAGTCAGGCTTTGTCGCAGTAGTTCGCAGTGTGCATCGGCCTTGAGCGATAACATCGTCCACGTGGCTCCGTGATAAAATGCGATGGCTTCAGCGGCGTGAAAATGTGACACCTCTTGGCCGCACAATGCATTCAATGCCAGCCACTTTGCTGAATAAATGTAACTCTGCTACCATCACGCTTCGTATAACTGTCTTTTCCAGGATGAAAAAGGAAAATGCTAGAGAAATCAATATCTAGGTAAAACTTAATGTCATGATGAAATGGCTGATTCCGAGTTCTAGGCAACAAAGGGAAAATTATGGGCAAGGGAAGTATATTCCTTCGACTCGACCCAGGAATTCTGAGTTTTGAAAGTCATTAAATTACCGTTTCAGGTCTGCATTAGGGAGACTTAGGGGGATGGCAATCGAAGAGTGAAAGGGGGTAGGGCTTTTACGGTCTCTTTGCATCTCATGACCTTTCTTCTTTGCTCAGCCGGTGCTTCATTGCCTTTTTCTTAGCCCGGAACCAAAAATTTTATGAATGAAGGAACGATTATGCAACGAAGATCTAGAAAATAGCAAAATAATCATTTTTCAACGAAAGTTTGGAATTATCGATTCGCTCGGGATGCTCGTAGACCCAAGGAAGACATCGTGCCTATGCTTGCAAGGAAGGAGAGGACGAGTCTTGCCCTGGTCTCAGGCCTCGTCGGCCCATAACGGATGTAAACGTGACGGTGGAGCTTAGGTTATTTGTAGCACGGTCCAAAGGGAGCCGTGGTGCTCACTCGGGAGAACTTTCGAGCATCGAGGTACTGTGACGACGTGTGCGGCTTAAATGCCTTGTACGAACTGCAGTGCATGAGAGGCACTCGTGCCGAATGGGCACATTGGATATGGGACTAAGCTCATTCGCTTCCCTTCTAGTCCAAAAATATTCATTTTTCGAAAAGTGCTGGTTTTTGTAATTAGGTAGAAATATACAGTATATACCGGCTAGGAATTGAGCATGGCGGGAAATAGTGCGAGTGAGACTCGTCCAAGTGTCTTGGCGCGTCAGTCAAAGCTGCTGGTCGAGCCCGCTCAAGTGATTAAATGAGCTAATAATGTACCCGAGAAGTAAACCTCTGTACTTGTCCTTGTAATACGTAATCATGTTGATTACGTATCATGTTGCATATGCCGTTGATTGCGCAATACTAGTCATATCTCTACCTATGTTGACATACGTGTACTCAGCCAGAGATAGTGATTTATGATTCATCAGATGTAGTGCTTTTAAGCACTACCTTCGATGAATCATAAACGAGACTCATAAGCCGCCATGATAAAAAAAATTGCAAGGACTGAACGGCGGAAAGATTGCGAAAAATGAGATATTATTCAAACCGGAGAATTTCTGTTTCATCTCCATCCAGAAAATATATACCCACTATTAAAAAAATTATTGCCACCTCTATTGTGGAGGTATAAATATCATGGGACAAGAAACCCTCGGATACAGTGAACAAAAATATACATATTTATAGACTTTCCAGACGGTACAGAGTTGACAGCTGACGCACATCCCTCACCACAAGTTCACGAAGATGTCATTGTTTTCTGTTTGCATGCATGACGATTCCATACATTTTTCCATTCGGGGGGCTGCTGTGAAATGACAGTAAATCCTCGCGCTCGATTTTGTGCGTTAACGTGCAACATAATTTATAGTAAAGCGTAATTAAAAATAATTGCCTGGACTTCCTCCACCTTCCTCCAAGACCCGACTAAAACATTTGAATTTCCTTCAGGGCCCTGGCACGAGACAAGGCGAACCAGACTTTCTATGGGCAGGCCACGGTCATCGAGCAGAAGCCACTTGCGGTCAAAAGGAGCGCGCCTGTGAGCTCAAATGACGACTTTTCCATGCAGATACGCGTGACGATAATGATTGCCTTACGGTGATGCTTGTCGAGTGATGAAAAAGGGCCATTCGAGTGTCTCAGTGTAACGGCTCCTCCCCTATAGAGAATCGCATGAAAACCTCTGCCGAAAAGTCGATCGTTACTGTTGACGCGTGATGTCGATGTGCATTTCGTGCGCTCTTGTATTCCAGGATCAGGAGAATCCAGGAGATATCTACGACGGATGTGGAACGTTTAAGAGTTGCTTTGGGTGCGTGAGCTCGAGCAGTTGTACGGGGGTCGATTCCGGTTGCTTGGAGGACAGGTCTTGCGAGGTGGTGGTCTCGTTCGAGAGTGGCGGCAGAGGGGGCGTTTCCGTGCGTCTGCGGGGCGAGAATTCCCTGGATCCCGGCTATGTCGCACTGGCATTCTCAACCGATGCAAGGATGGTCCGTGTTTTCATATCAGCGTCGCCATCGTAACATTAAAATGGTATTGCAATTGATGGGTGGAGTGGTAATATTTATGCTGATCCTCCTCGCCTCGGTTCCCACTCCAGCAATGGTCAAAACACTTGAAGACCACAGCATAGTTCTGATAGTTCAGAGCACAGGTCAAGTTGATAACGATCCACTTTCAGCAAAAAATCTGGAGAAGTCAGGTGCTCCCTCAGGCGCTCCCTCAGGTGCTCCCTCCTCATCACGTTCCAAAGCCGATTCAGAAAAACCAGTTTTACGGACAAGCACGTCAGTTGCTCAATAAGATGAACCTAAAAAATGACACTTTTTCCTAATTATATTACATAAATTCACGCCTGGCAATGATGTGGGTGTGGATATATTCTTTTATGTGATGATGAAAAGTTATTTTTGTTTTCTAGGATGTGTTTATGCTTTCTAACAATTCACTTGGCTTACCTGTTTGCAGGGTGAAGATGCAGTAATCACATGTGTCAACCAAGGAGGATCAGTGAAAGTATCTGGATCATATAATCCGACCGAACAGAGGACAAATTTCCAGTTCCCAGCTGTGAGTCCTAAAGCGTCTCATCTCTTTTTTTATTTTTTATTTTTTAACTTCTCTAGTAAATATTGTAAATCTTTATCATTTTCATAATGGTCGTAATTGCATCCACGATCTCTGATGAGATCCGTATATTGTGAAGTCTCTCTTCGTCTTCTTTGATTCGGTGCGCATGGGCCTTGTCTGTTGTTTTCGATCTTTCACTTTTTTTGAAGTGACGAATTAACCCTAGAACAATATCGCGGGGTCCACCAGACCCCAAGCATCGTAACGCTTGGCATCGACGTTGTCCCACGTTAGTATTCCAGGGTTAAGCGGAGAACTTTCTGCGCAAAATATTCCCAAGGCGGACCTTCCTCGTTGTTTCCAGTAGCTCTGTTCCATCATTGTGATCTTAAAGGATTCGAAATAAGAATCTGGAAGGAAAACACTGAGCGCGTTCAGCTGCGACTCGATCTAACTGGGCGAGTCGCGTGACTCGGGGTATGGCCCGCTTGGGCATTTTGTCTCAGCGCTTTGGGTCATTTTTCCAGTATGGCAGGGAGCAGGTTTTTAAGTGGATTTTAAATGCTTTTCTGAGTTATACTACAGACAGGTGGATGTAAGGGGAAAATGACGAAGTGGCACAGAATGATCTTCAATTTAAAAATTACTACGCTGGGATGTTCATGATTGAAGCATGATTCATACTTGCAAATATGTAATTTCATGATTCGGAGACACCCTTATTGCAAATAGAACACTAAAGCCTCACCCCCCTACTATAATCTTTGGGGTGATTGAGCATACCCGCTTCCTCGGTACGTCATGGTGCCACCCAAGGGAAACGATCGCCTCGCAAAAACGATAAAAGCTGTTCGATACTAAATTGGCATCTTCTCAAAGCACATGCCTAATTAAGAGGGAAAATTCAGAAAACTGAAATTCGTAAATGCCAAGCCACTTGCCGCTGGGCGCCGGCAAACACCACGTCTGCAGAGACGACCCGATCTCTGAGAAGGGGTCGGAGCCCATAAGGTGGGTCAGGTTTCTGCATCATCCCTCGATGCTTTCTGGGCTTCGTGCCTTGACTCGAGTTTTAGCCTGGGTCACAACCCAGGCTAGCTACTTTCCAGCGGGTCCGAATTCCAAGGGCCAAATTTCTTCTCATAATATTAAACTGTATCATAATATTATGTCGATTAAACTTGATTACATTGTCGCGGAATACGATTCGCTATTCGAAGGATATTTCTTTTCAGTCTGGAATATAAAATCTGTGTTGCAATCCTTGCGCAGAAAGTAGGATTTAAGGAGAACTTGAGACTGTACTAGGTTTTTTTGGGGGTAGGTACTTTCTTGCAATTAGGCAATGCGAGAAATATCGAAGCAACAAAGTGGGAATTAGCACAAACAATATTTTCCTTTACATCAATGTTCCATGCTGAGTTTGTACGTTTGAGGTTCAATGACATCAATACTGTAGTTAAATATTGACATGCCTTCTCAATAGGTCTCACTTTGACCATCCATCTAAACCCTTCATATATATATATATATCTCTCATGTACTGCAGGTAACGTGCTCTTTTCGCGCTTGTAGGGTGAGCAAACGATGAATCTGCAAGACGCGAGTGGAAGCTACGCGGACGGACGCATTTCCTGCAGTTTCCTCCTTGCATCGGAGACGAACGTGAAGAGCCATGCCTTGAATTTCGTCTCGACCGTCCATTCCCCCCTTCTGGCCGTGGGTTCGGCCGCCTCCGTCGGTATGGACCTGCTTCATTCCACTTTCGTGACTTTCTTCGAATATTCTACTGTCGTCCGGACACCAAGTCTGCACTGGACCATTTCGATCGTCTTTCATCTTTTCTAAATTTATTGCGACTATACGAAAGGTCAAATTAGAAATTTAATGATGACGGGTCCTTAATGAGCGATTATGACTTTCGAAAGCTATTCTTTAGATAAAACCAATGGATGGCAATGTCTCCCTGTTATAAGTGCCAGTACATTATTTTTTTTAAATATTTCTTCCCTTTTAAAATTATGCTTATTAGTCTGATTCTACGCTTCGTGCGAGCGGGCCAGACTTTAGAAACCAAATTTTACCTAAATGCCTCATGGATGCACCGATACTGGTGCTTGCAGAAGGAAAATCCCACGTATTCGCATTCCACAAATAAATTTTCAAAGCAATCACATGTATAGGATAAGAGGTAGATCGTAGATTCATATCATGCTTTCGTAATGATTTTGCAGGTCAGTTCCAGCATCATTCCATGAGAACACCTGCAGAACAAACCCATGAGTTGCTGCAGCAGGTTTGCAATAATCCTCTGATCTATACAGTTAATTTATTCGAAATCTTCAGAATATATAAACCTTTCGATTTCTGCTTTTCAGGATGATCCGTATGCGAATTGTGGGAATGAAAAGATCTGCATCGGGTGTGATGCAAGCAATTTGTGTGTGGAATCAGGAGAATGTCTCGACGCCAAAAACTGCATCATGTTTTTGTCTTTCATACCTGCAAAGGATGGGGAGACTTCTGTCACCATCACCATCATGAGACTGGATGCTGCAGAGAACACATATGTCGCCGTGGGATTCTCTGGTGATCAGAGCATGGTAAGCCTAATCATCATCAGCGCTTTAGAGTTAAAGCGTAGAGGATCCCATGAGCGTACAAGTCATTATAATTGAAGAAATACAACTCAGAACTTCTAAATAGTACATGGTGATCCAAAAAAGGTGTATCCAAAGATAACGTACTATACAAACCAAAACACTTAGGTTAGGGACTTGAAACTTGGTACCATGCTTACTGTTGTCCTTAAGTTTTTGGTATGCAATATTTAACCTCAACATGACCACCTGAACGTTCACGACACGTCCTGACGCGACGTGATGATTTAGTCCAAGTTTTAGCTAATAGGTCGCGGGTGATAGAGAAAATCATCGCCACAGTTGCCACTATCAAGTTGGCCAAATGTCTGTCTAGAAGTGTATACTTTGTTCTTTGCATATCCCCACAAGAAACAGTCTGCTGATGTTAGATCCGTAAAGTTAGATGGCCACACCCTTTGTTGCTGAAGGTCTCATTGAGGGGATTACGGAGAGCAATGAACCGGTGTTTCAGAACACCACTCTGATATACACTATCACACACTAATACACACAAGCACTCGATGATTGGATGCGTTTCTTTCCCTAATGCAGTTGCTTTGTGGAAAAAGCTCTCATAACATTTGCTCTCATACCATCCGAATGCTGCAGGCGAAATTGCACGATCAAAGACGAGTAGCGGGAATTCCTTCATTTAGGAGCTCCTATTTAGAAAAATAACTAAAGGCATTTTTCAGCATTTGGACGAAAGCTGCTTAACGCCTGAAAGGATCTCATAAACTGGAATTTCCTTACTCCAAAATTATGTTAAGTTACTTCAGAGTAAGCCAGGAGCTGGCGACGTCGTGTCTTGGCCCAACCTAAAAACCTACGCGCGATGGAAGGCCAGGAGGAAGGGTGATCATATTGTTCTGCAACTGATATCAAAGATATGAACTTTTAAATTAAATGCTGTATGCAAGATGGTTTTTAGTCTCTGAGTTTTATTGAATCGCTGAGGCTTTGAAATATTGGTTTAACGATTTTCCTTGAGAACTGCCTAACAACCGCAGAATTCACGCAGGGAGATAGTGTTGCAGGACTTTTCAACTACAGTACGTTCGATCTTGAAAGTATTTCTAAGTTTTCTTCTTTAGAGAAGAAAATTAAACGACAGGAAAGAAAGTTGATAACAGGATCTTCATTCTTTTTATTCTCAGGGAGAAGATCATGTCGTAGAATGCGTGAAAGGTTCCGGAAGTCCGCAGCTGTACCGATCATACAATGAAGGACCTGGCCTGAACGTCCGTCTTTCCTCAGTAAGTGCTTCCTTCTCACACTCTGATCGTGAATGCGTCGTGGATGCACCACCGAGGAAGAGCCTCTGTTTTCTCGAAAATATTTTGTCCGGCAGTGAATGGTTCAAAGTGTGCATGCAATGTTTTTCCTTATCCGTTGCACCCAAGCATTGTAAATTTTAAGGCACCCATTATGTCCATGCATCACCCTGGATACAGTCATTGTTCTTAGCTCTCTTATTCTCCATCTATATGAATGCTCAACCAAGTCTGAGAAGCATTTGGTGTTGGATTTTCTTCTATCAAGTTGGCCAAATGTCTGTCTAGAAGTGTATACTTTGTTCTTTGCATATCCCCACAAGAAACAGTCTGCTGATGTTAGATCCGTAAAGTTAGATGGCCACACCCTTTGTTGCTGAAGGTCTCCTTGAGGGGATTACGGACAGCAATGAACCGGTGTTTCAGAACACCACTCTGATATACACTATCACACACTAATACACACAAGCACTTGATTGGATGCGTTCCTTTCCCTAATGCGGTTGCTTTGTGGAAGAAGTTCTCATACCATTTGGTAGCAGTCTTCCGTATGCTGCAGGCGAAATTGCACGATCAAAGACGAGTAACGGGAATTCCTTCATTTAGGAGCTCCTATTTGGAAAAATGACTAAAGGCATGTTTCAACATTTGGACGAAAGCTGCTTAACGCCTGAAAGTATCTCATAAACTGGAATTTCCTTATTTCAAAATTATGTTAAGTTTCTTCAGAGTGAGCCAGGAGCTGGCGACGTCGTGTCTTGGCCCAACCTAAAAACCTATGGGGTATGGCTGATGAGCCTATTTAAGGCCTCTCACGCGATGGAAGGCCAGGAGGAAGGGCGATCTCATTGTTCTGCAACAGATATCAAAGATAATAAATGAACTTTTAAGTCAAATGCTGTATGCAAGATGGTTTTTAGTCTCTGAGTTTTATTGAATCGCTGAGGCTTTGAAATATTAGTTTAACGATTTTCCTTGAAAACTGCCTAACAACCGCAGAATTCACGCAGGGAGATCATGTTGCAGGACTTTTCAACTACAGTACGTTCAATCTTGAAAGTATTTCTAAGTTTTCTTCTTTAGAGAAGAAAATTAAACGACAGGAAAGAAAGTTGATAACAGGATCTTCATTCTTTTCGTTCTCAGGGAGAAGATCATGTCGTAGAATGCGTGAAAGGTCCCGGAAGTCCGCAGCTGTACCGATCATACAATGAAGGACCTGGCCTGAACGCCCGTCTTTCCTCAGTAAGTGCTTCCTTCTCACACTCTGATCGTGAATGCGTCGTGGATGCACCACCGAGGAAGAGCCTCTGTTTTCTCGAAAATATTTTGTCCGGCAGTGAATGGTTCAAAGTGTGCATGCAATGTTTTTCCTTATCCGTTGCACCCAAGCATTGTAAATTTTAAGGCACCCATTATGTCCATGCATCACCCTGGATACAGTCATTGTTCTTAGCTCTCTTATTCTCCATCTATATGAATGCTCAACCAAGTCTGAGAAGCATTTGGTGTTGGATTTTCTTAAGGGACGCGATCAGCTAACACTAACAACCATTTCAGTCTAAATTCATGCAACGAACTCTGAAGGAAAACCTTTAATTTATTATGAACGAAGAGTCATTAATATGAAAGCAAGGTCGCTCTCGATGTCCCCGATGACGTGGGGCGAAAGTGATGACTTGGACTAGATCCCACACGAAAAGCGGAAAGTAAAAATATAGGAGCAATTGCTCATTCCTTTTCTCACCACGAAATGGTGTGTCGCTAACAACTAAAAATGCCAGTGTCTCGCTTAACAGCCCCTATCTTTCTATTGTTTATGGTACCTTCTTCACAGTTACTACCTCCACGTATGGCAAATTTTGTGGGTGGGGGGGGGGGGGTAGAAACACCTATTTGTCCATTGAAGCCGTAAGTGAGGTCCTGTTCGCTTCCCACTCTCGTGAAAGAGCTACAAATTTAGTGCAGTGATTCCATGTATAGATAATATGAAGCATCCTCTATTTACTTACTCCGAAGCCTTTAAGAAAGGAATAATCGTTGGGGCAGAACTTAATTTCCATATATCCTACAAAGCACACAAGATCGTTTGAAGGGGATTAATTTTTCACGAGGTTGACTCTAAATTATGCCCATTGCAGGATCAGCAGGGGCAAGGAGTTTCTTTGATATCGGGTTCATATGAAGGGGATATCTTGATATGTGAATTTACGCACGACTTGGTGACGTCATCGAACCCCGGTGGAGAGTTGAAATTGAACACCAACCTCTACCTCCTCCTCGCCATAGGGAATACCGGTGAGTCCAGTATTTGCAAAACACTCCATTGAATTTCTCCTCTTCGTGGAGAAACAGTTCAGAGCAAACCTTGGAGATGTAATCGATAATGCCTGGCAATGTTGGATTGATCGTGGATCTTTCAGTCGTTGCGCTCAAAAAGTGTCGGGAAGCTGTGTAACTTCTCTATGAGCACAGATCGACGATGTACAAAGGAAACTTTGATAGTTATGAAACAATATTTATTAAGACAAAAATATGCATGTATACTTTTCCACATCGTCTCTTCCAACGTCATTAGATGATGATAGCAGTAGCTGTCATTAATGACAATAAGATTGCCTAGAATATAAAATTATTATTGGCTTGGGTCCCAAGCTCAATTTTGTACTTGAAGAAACATGTTACAGAGCTATTGGAGCGCTGTATATTTCAATTAGTGCCTTCTAACCCAGTTAGCCAAATTGAAATATGTTCGTCTATTTTTGCAGATCCCGAGAATGTCCTTGGGTACCATGCAAATCGAGGGTTTTCTCCAATTCAGCATGTCATGGCACCGGTGAGTCTCGACACGTTTCCCATTTTATCACCTAAAACAACGTATTGTCTTCGTCTCAATTTATCTTTGAGTGACATGCATCAACAATGTCAAAAGGGGACTGCCAGGGAATAGAAATAATAACCTGTGTTGAACCAGTTCCGTAGATGAGTTTTAGTGAATTCTCCTCACGTAGTCTTTCTATCAAACGCTTTGCAAGGCAATTCCATGCGGATGCCAAATCCAACTCGCAAAATCTTCTCGGGAGTAAAATTTAAATTGTGTAGCACATTTGTCACGTAAATTGACCAAACTAGTTCAATGGGGAAAGTTCTTGTCCATATTGGCACCCAACGTGCACAAACCTTTCTCAGTCGCAGATGATCATGCAAAATGGCATTAATGGAACCAGCTGAGATTCCAACCGCGAGAAGGTCCTGGTGAATGATTCGTCTGTTGTTCATGACCGATCGTTGAACAGCTGGAATATTTTCTTCTGTAGTGGAGGTGCCTGGTCTACCAGACCGTGGCGCATCTTCAGTTGTTTGACGACCGCCTCTAAAAGAAAGCACCCAGTTGTAGACAATTGTTTTGACGATGCAGAATTCGCGCACACTGCTTGAAGCCGGCGAACGATGTTGACGGTTTTTTCTCCTTCCACAGGAACCATACTGTCCAACTGCCCTAGCGTGTCACCTTCCATTACTGATATTCAGAATTTGGTGTGCTGACGGAATGGTATTCTTGACATAGTCTCTTGTTCAGAACGATTCATTGTGCTCATGATGACTGTTGAGTCTGCACATTTGCAAGCATGTCGGGCAGCAACGGGGCAGCTAAAGGAAGCAACGGGAAAAGTTCTTAGACTTCTTGAACGATCCTTGTAGATGAAAGTTACATTTCCAATCTTTTTTTAATCTCTGGAATAGAAAGTTATGATCACAGTAAACCATTTCATTCCTAAGCAAAAAATATATACGTGGATGGTAATTTGACCAATTTAGTTTTGAAAAAAGAAGCAAAGAGCCATTGGTGACTGGCCAGTGCACATTTTTCCCAACATAACCAGGTCTATTATGATCATTTCAGCATTATGAGCATTTATGAACATTCTATCTATTATGAGCATTTCAGAGAACCCAAGATTCAAGACAATCGGTGTGAGCCTTTGAGACCTCCGTATTCAATTAACACCACGTGTACTTGCAGGATATCCCGTGAAATTGGGCAGTCTTTATTGTTTTGTGTTTGATGAAAAGTCCAGAAATTGGATAGAATAGGATACAGGGCGATATTAGTCATATTGACCTAACCTAAATAATATGCGCCTATTCAATAAAACTTGGCAGTACCACCTCCTGAAACATATTCTTCAATAGGAACTTGTTTTCAATTTTAATAATTTGATTTTAGTTTCTAATTTAGTTGGGTTTTTTCGCATACATAAATTTTTCTATCTCAGCTCTTTCAGATTGATCCATATGCTGATTGTGGGAATGAGAAGATCTGCATCGGGTGTGATGCAAGCAATTTGTGTGTGGAATCAGGAGGATGTCTCGACGCCAAAAACTGCATCATGTTTGTGTCTTTCATACCTGCAAAGGATGGGGAGACTTCTGTCTCCATCACCATCATGAGACTGCAAGCAAAAGAGAACACATACGTCGCCATGGGATTCTCCACTGATCAGAGCATGGTATGCTTTATCATAGGAAAGAGGACGCCAAGAACGTGCAAGTCTCTATGACGGATTAAATGAGAGTCGATGAGATCCTTATTACTTGTAGGACACGAAAATGCACCTCCGAAAATCTCGTCATATCCTTTACTTGCACAGATAGAATATTGTGTAATATGAAGACGAAGAGGGAGGGGGAAGAGAATGTCAAGAGTCTGCGAGCACGAGAATGGATGGTGGTCGTGGCGAAAGAGGGATAGACTTTCAAAGAGTTCATTGTTTCCTTTTTTCCGCTATACATTTTTTTCCTCAATACCATTTGCGACAATCGAATGTTCATCTTTTTTTTAAAATCGAAGTTAAGGGTGGTGGTAAAATAATGATGGTGGTAATACAAGGCAAAAGAATGCAGTCTTCCCTCGAACGTAAGGAAACGCTTTCCGTTTTTACGTAAGCTATAAGATAAATAAAGGTTTCGTGATTGGACGTAGTTGCCTGGTCCGTATGTAGTTGCCATGTGCTCGAGTCTCATACCGTTTGGTAGTCTTCCGAATGCTGCATGCGAAAATGTGTCATGAAAGACGAGAAGCAGGAATTCCTTCTTTTTAGTGCTTCTTTGTTGAAAATAGAAAAAAGGACATTACTCAGTATTTCCACAAAAGTAACTTGTAAACTCGACCTTTTTTGTCCCGATTTGGTTAAATTAAAGAGGTTTCTTCAGTCAGCCAGACGTAGACGAGATTAGTTCAGATCAATTACAATGGGATTTGGCCAATTAGGGATTCTCAAGGAGGGCAAGTCTATCGCAAAGTACGGCCACCTGGTTCTGAAACTGTTTTATGAGATCTCAAGCGATTGAATTGAATGTTGTTTTATGCCGAACTGTTGCATGTGTCGGAACCTTGCTGATTCGCAAAGAGTTGAAATGAAATTTTTGTTCCCGTAAAATTTGTTCTTAAGAAACAGTTTAACTGGGGTATTCATGTGGGAACATCGCGCTCGACGAATTTTTAACTGCTGGGCATATTTTCAAGATTCATATTTGGAATATTTTTACGCTTTCTTCTATAGAGAAGAAAATTAAATGACAGGAAAAGAAATTGAAAACAATGTCTTCATTATTTTCTTTCTCAGGGAGGAGATCATGTCGTAGAATGCGTGAAAGGTTCTGGAGATCCGAAGTTGTACCGGTCATACAACGAAGAACGTGGCAAGAACACCCGTCTGTCCGAAGTAAGTGTTTCCCTCTCGCACTTGGTTCAGCCCATCAGGAATGTGTCGTGGAGACTATCCGTGAACATCCTCTGTTTTCTCGAAAATATCATCGACCAGCATTGAATGAACTAAATGTATGCGATCGACCGATACAACTTGTCCAGATCCGACGTTCATTCCTGAAAGACCGCAAGCTTGCAGGGTGAAATCATTCCGGTGTCCCTTTCAGCTCACGGGAAAATCGAACAGTTATGTGTAAAGACTAAGTCATTTATTCATTTGCCTTAAGAGATCATTCTCTAGCCAGTGAGCAAGAAATTTCAAGAAGATAATTTTCTGTGCGCTAGCTGTCAGCATAGAGCTTCTGATTCTCATAGTGAACTGACGTTTTATTGAAAGGCAGGAGTGCAAGGTGGGATGTGGCATTCTCCCTTGATGGACCCTGTCAAAGTATGCCCATACCGCTTCATCTTGAAATGTAGCAGGTTAAAAGGCGATTCTCTGATTAAAACTCATTTAGGTCGGAATGGACTAGGATTTTTACATAGGTGACATGTTTATATCAGATAGTTGTGGTGGAATGGGAGTGAATTGGGGGGAAAGGGGAGGGGTGACATTTGGTAAAATTCCCTTATTTCTAAAGATAATTGTTAGCAAAGGTCTGGATTTATTTATGGATCCTGTAGCCGCAGGTCCTGGTGGAATCCTCAGCACGTCATACCTGTCTCTGTGCCTCAAAAATATATCGGGTGGCCAAAAAAAAGGCACTATTTTCAACGCTCATTTTTGGTGTGATTCTTTCAAATATTTTTATGGTTACATGTTATGGAAAGAAGAAATATTCAGCTACAAAAATGTTTTTTTCAGACTTGAAATATCTTAAAGGATGACCTAAAAAAAAATTGCAGAATTTCGGTCAAGAAAAATCGGCGTTGCGCTCACCAACTCGACCCAGCATCCACTTGACGTCCCTGCGCTCAAGAGGAAGGGAAACGCTGACCTTAGCAGACGTCGCGAGGCTGATTAGATGTGCCTGCCGCTTTATGCGGTCAGTGAGCGCAACGCCGATTTTTAGTAAGATATTTAAAGTCTGAAAAAAGTATTTTGTAGTCAAGTCTTCCTTCTTTCCATTACATGTAAACAACAAAAATATCCTTGAAAGAATCACACCAAAAATGCGCGTTGAAGAGTGCCTTTTTTTTTGGGGGGGGGGGGGGGGGCCCCCTGTTTATTC